CCCCCTAACCGCGCTGCACTCCCGCAGGGACCGTGGACAAGCACTCGGTGGAGGTCACTAACTGCTTCTCCGTCCCTCACAACGAGTCCGAGGATGAGGTACGGAGCGCGGGAACGCCCGCTGTGCGGTAGAGCGGGCGGTGGGTCTCGACGGGGTGGTGACCGCCGGGGCGTGCGGCCCCTGTGATGGCGGCGTTAGGGCTTGTGCCTGTGTCGTCCTCTGCTCAGGGTGAAGCATCCGTGTAACCAGCTGACTTCGTCCTGTCCCTTTTCTCAGGTGGCAGTCGATATGGAATTTGCCAAAAACATGTATGAGTTGCACAAGAAGGTGTCTCCTAGCGAGATCATCTTGGGGTGGTAAGTTCTCCTTCTGCAAGAACATGCAAGCAGTCGCGTTGGTCCCTTAAACTACTTGAAATACGTACTTTTGTCACAGGTTGAGAAGCAGAAGCACTAATGCTTGTGACAGCAAGGTCTTCCAGCTCTTCTTATCGAGTCAGTTGTAAAGCTCCTGCCATTCCTAATAGGAAGAGATGGTATTGGACACTTACAGGGTTTGGTTTTGTCTAGCAAAGGTATCACAGAGGAGCGGTGAGTTAGAGAATGCTTGCACAGCTTTGTTAGAAGAACTTAGCCACCTGTAATACAACCCGCACCATGGAAGATGACTGGTTAGAAAGAAGAGAGAGTACAAAAGAGTAGTTTCGAGTACTGAAGGCCCCAGGAGGAATCGGTGATATCAGCTTGAGCGTGCATAAGTTCTCTGCTAAGAAAAGGTGGAAGTTGTTGTGTGTGGGATGCGAAGCAGGATCAGTAGGGTGTTATGGGAACAGAGTCTGTCTCTGAGTGTTTGGATAGCTTTATTAGTCTTTTTGTACATCTCTGACCCTACAAAATAGCTTAGCTCTGTTCCTGTGGAGCAAACTTCAACAGCTTTCTCATGGCACAGCACAGTGCAGTTGTAATGACAGGAGTGTACCTGTGTATGTGAGAAGCTAATTGCAGAGCAGTTAAGGGAGCTAGATTAACAAGTTACACCTCCTGCAGAGAGATGTTTGATTCATGGAAGATCTACTTGGTTGGTCCAAATTTGTTTGGCATGCTTTGACATACACAGAAATAAGTCCAGAACATAGTAACAGATAACTAACCTTGGGTGCCTGATGTCAACTGTACCAACTTTTTATGGCCGGTACTAGAGAACCGGCCTTGCGCGTGTTTTGGGCATGGGTCTGCTCAGCCTGTGATTCCTACAATTCTAGGACAGCTGGCCAGAAAACTACAAATTCCCTTGTTAAAACACTTGTATTTAGTATGCTTCTGCAGCTCAGTGTGTGGAAATCAGTGGTTTAGGATACAAAGCTGTTAAATACCAACAATGCCAAACAATGGGCACTTGAGTGTTGGAAGAATGGCTCCTCAAACTGTGCTCTTTTGAAGGTATGCAACAGGTCATGACATCACGGAACACTCTGTCCTGATCCACGAGTATTACAGCCGGGAAGCGCACAATCCAATCCACCTCACTGTGGACACGAGTCTCCAGAATTCACGCATGAGCATTAAAGCCTATGTCAGGTACTCTGCGAGGGGAGCTATCTGAATAAGAGAGACCACATCAGAGTAATGAGAAATGTAGTGAGCTGCAGCCTCCCATTTTGGACAATACTGTGCAGTAGCTAAAACAGAGTAGTGCGCCAGGGATTGTGGCTTACTTCTCATTGGAATGTCTTGACCATTGTATGTAAGTTGAAAGACCTAACCTTTCATAAGATGGTACCTCATTGGGTGGGGAATTGTGACTTAATTAACAGTGTTCTGAACATCTTTGTGACATTTCACAGGGTTCATATAGCTAGCATTAATGTCACTAACTTCCATCACACTGTCCGAATGCTAGCCTGTAGGCACTGAGCTTTATTGCTCAGCAGTTTATACAAGTTGACGGATTAGTGCGGTTAAAACATAATGGAAACAGCATCTCTTGATTAGTCTTTCTTCCCCTTAACCCCTTCCATTTTTATCAATTAATAATGGAGATTAAATATTGAGAAATGAAAGTACTCCACTATTCCCAGTACTGGCTCAAGAGCTCTCCTTTTCAAGGAAAAAAACTCAGCCTTTCTTTGTACTGGAAGTCTATTGCTTCTTGACTGTGCAGCTTCAAAAAGGAAGCTCTTCCATGACGCCTTACTTAAAGCATAAATGGACTTCAACTACTTTGAATAATAGGAGTAATAAAGGTGTTGAGAGTGCTTTGTACGTGAATTTTTGTCATATTTATGTTTGTTCCTTAAGTGATTTCTCAAAGCATGGAGTATTTCAGGATAGAAGAATACTTGCTCTATAAGGAAGAAGAAACCGTGGCTAAGACGATAGTACTTAGCTCTTCATGCATTCATGCTGACGAATGTCAGACCAGCTAGGAATATTCTTGAATGAAAATGAGCAATTAATAGTATGCCAGGACTGATTTCTGGTCCTCAGTTATCCGTGGTCTTAATATTTTTGATTTTGGTGAGAATGAGTAACCTACTCACGTTCACCCTTCAGTGCTAACAGAGGTCATTGAGATGGAAATCTATTACTTCCTCCCTTAGATACGTCCATGCTGAAAATGTTCTGTTCTTTTATTTTTTTTCTTCTAGTGCCCCAATGGGAGTCCCTGGTAAAACTATGGGCGTGATGTTCACACCTCTAACAGTGAAGTATGTTTATTACGATACAGAGCGGATAGGAGGTGAATGTTTTCTTCCTATTTTGGTTGTAACCATTGTGACACTGTTCAAATCATTTTTTTACCCTGGTAAAATTGCTATTCATTGGAATTCTACTGGGAATTAGACTGTCTTGCTGAAGCTATCCTAAAAATCTTTAACAAGTTAAGGATTTAAACTGATTTCCATGGTAGTCGGTTTTCTTCACTGATCCTCCTTTTGCTTTCAGTGGATCTTATCATGAAGACTTGTTTTAGCCCTAATCGAGTGATTGGCTTGTCCAGTGACTTACAGCAGGTGGGGTCAGCATCAGCCAGGATTCAGGATACCCTGACCATGGTGCTGCAGTATGCAGAGGATGTATTGGTAAGGCCAGATTTTTGAGCCAGCAAATAAGTTTGATGTAAACTTAGGCATCTTGTTTTTATATATTCTCTTTCTGGGCCCTAACCTTACTGAACTTTACATGATGAAGTGTATGTTTCTTATGCTTAGTCTGGCAAAGTGGCTGCTGACAACACTGTCGGGCGTTTCCTGATGGATCTTATTAACCAGGTGCCAAAGATTTCACCAGAGGACTTTGAGACAATGTTGAACAGCAATATCAATGTAAGTTCATAACATAATTTTTTTAGTGTGTTGCCAGCAATTTTGAAAATTTGTCATACAGACACAAATTTGTCTGTGATCAAAACAATCCATCTCTTCATACAAACATGTTAATAGAAAATACAGCCCTTTCTTCTAAATAATTTGATGTTTTAAGAGCTGAAGGTGGATAAAGGAGCTCACCATAATAATCTTGCAAGCAACTGCACATAATCATTTCTAAAGTACCTAGGAATTATGCAAGTAATCTGAAAGCCATCACCAATTCTTCTTTTAGAGTGATTGGACGATATGAATTACCAGACTTAAAGCAGCATGAATTTGAAGGATAACTGGTGACTTGCCAGCTTCCTTTGCCTCTGCTGAAGTTCTGTCTCCTTGCATAACAGGACACGAACAAGGTTTTAGTGTGCCACCTTATTTCTGTAACAGATTTTTAGAAAGCGAAAGCTAAGTTTCTGAATGTGTTGTTTACCTACAGTCTGCAAGACCAGAACTAATTTTTAATTTTGCTTATACCCTTTGACTTGCCTGGTTAACATGGGTGAACTCAGAGTTAAAATTTCACAAGCAGTGTTTCATATTCTGGGAATACCAGAACCACCTTCCTGCAATGGAAGCTTTCCTCAGGGTAGGACTTTAAGGACTACCAGTATTTCTAGTAGCTGATTGTAAACTGCTTTGCAGGTGTTAAAAAATTCAACTCCCTAATAGGCTAGCATCTTTGTTAATATTTCTGATCACTGGTTTTTTTTCCCCTCTCAGGACCTACTGATGGTAACCTACTTGGCAAACCTCACACAGTCACAGATTGCTCTCAATGAAAAACTTCTGAGTTTATAAAGAAACTTCTGCCACCCTACCCTTCAAAGAGCCTGAAGAACGTGCAGATATACTTTTCTATGGTGGTGTTACAAATTTCCTTGGACCATAATTTAATTACCTAGATGACTTGGTTTACATCTTTATTTCCATTGCCCTGAAAAATCCCTAACATCGTTTAGGAAATTAATGGCGACGGCTGCAGTTTAGTTGAGCCCAGTATTTTAAAATGGAATCCCTGAATCTTAACAAAATACAGCTTTATTGTAAGAATTTATTCGAAATAAAAGTTCCATTGCAATGGCAAGCATGCTTTCTGTCCAAAAAAACTGTTCTCATTTATTATAAAATGAATCCACTTTTGAAGGAAAGGGGGGATAACATGGCATCAGGAAAAAAAACTACAGTGGATGCAAGTCAACTCCAATTCTGCAGGCTTCTTTGCAGGTTTTTTTTCCTAACTGTTAAAGCACGCTGCAAGTGTGGCTTCTTGTGTTGCACATAATATGGTTTTCCATGGAGGACTACAGAATGGTCACTGCTTTATTAGCGGTGCTGTGTACATGGCCTTCTTCAGCAGGGTACTGACAAGAGTATGAGACAGCGAATTCAGTTTATGTTATGGTATCATTTCTACGCATAGCTCATCTTTTGGGAAAGCAAATCAAGGTCAATAGCATTAGCCCCTCATAAAGTGGGGATTCAGAGAATTGAACTGAGTTCATGGTTATAAGGGCTTGAAAAACATTTGTGGCTGAACAACTGGCTACTGGAGTCCCCATCTTTGCAAAAGAAGAAAAGGACAGCAAAAATACACTTCATGAAGTTCTGAGGTTAAAAGTTGGGTGTTCTCAAACAGGAATTTTCTGTTTCATGACCCTGTACTGCTCCTAAAATTATGTGAACAGAAACTTCCCATTTTCTCCCCAAAACCTACTTTGCTCTAAATGAGTTCTAACTGAAAGCTAGCCAATACCAATCTGAGCTGTGGCTTTTTTGTAACATTACCTGTAGAAGTCTGTTCAGCTGTACTGAGGAGGTTTTGCCTAATAGAGTAAAAGTGTCCCTCTTCTACAACGTAACTGTTCCCACCCAATTACTAATGACTATTTCTGATGTCTCACATCTGTTTTGCTGATTGAATTTGAAATGTTAGAGAAGTCTGCAAAGCCAGTGTTCCCCAAAATAATTTTTGTGCCAATTTGCCAGATAAATCCAAGAATGGGACTCAGGTTACAAATCTGTAGATCCTGTACTGGTTGTTCCAATCTGGGGAATTCCTCCAGCGATTCAAATGCTAAATTCTAAGTTCTAATTGCAAGGACAAGGTACATGAAAACTGAAAGTATAGCAAAGATTCTCGTCTCTCTGAAAATGTTATTCGTGAGCATTAAATAAGTGTTAAAACTCGGGTCTTGTTTTTTATTAGTCTGAATAAAAATGTTTTGGTTTCCCTTCTTTAAACTTAATATTTGTAACTTTGGCCATTTAACTATTTCACAAATTTTCAGGTCAAGGTGTTTTTTAAAATAAGCCTTGAAATAGGTGGAGGAAAAGAGCAAGCAGCAAAGCTGGGTAAGTCTCAATTACTGCAAAAAAGTGGTAGGGGGGGGAAAACATAATATTCTTTCCCTGATCACTCCTCTGCAGTAAACCATTGCCATTCCGTGTTAGGAAAACTGATAAAATGTGAGAAGAGGGATTTTAAATGCTCTACAAGTTGAAGAGCTATGCTATTTAATAAGCTGCTGTGCACAAAATGCAAAGTTCTGAGAAGAAAGATCGATTTGCTATCAATGATATAGAAAAGGTATTGTGGAATTTGCCAGTACTTGCAAGTACCTGAACGATGCTGTGTCGTAGGGGACTGAGGTTATGTCTTCCTAGGTTGAAAGATTCATTGCAAAGTAGAGGTGTCAGAAGAGGCCACAATCCATAGGTTCGGTTGTATGCCAGACAGCACAGTGCCAAATGCTTGGAGTAGGAAAAAAACAGTTGCCCTTTTAAAACCTCTGTATCTGATCCCATCTATTCTGTCCCTTTTCACTGGGTGAACAGCACGTTGTGAACCTTACTTTGACTCTGAAATTCTGAATGCCTGATTTCAAATTTCAGTGGCCACTCTTACGAAGGACAATATTGCAAACACAAATGTAATGCATCATTTTGCTTAATTGTAAAGCCTGGCTGTGTTATTACCTAGTAGGCATTCCTTCTCTGGAGTTTGAAAATCTAGACAGGAATTCCTAATGGTATTTTATTCAAATTGTTCCACTTTATGGAAATCTATCTGAAAACTTGAAGTTCAATAGAAAATATGGTGGGAAGAGCTTGGGAGTCAAGAAACATCACCAAGGATTTCAAGCTTTAACTTGCTATTGATTTGTAAACCACAGATTTCTTGGATTTATTAAGGGACTTTTAACTTTTTTTTTTTGTTAGGATGCATTGCTCCAAATAATTTTGACAAAGTCTAGCTTTAAATAGTAAAGATAGTTCATTCTCTGGGTATGCTTCTATATACACCATGTATTATATTTAGTTACACCAGGTATTATATTTAGTTACGTTGGTGCCTTCACTAACATAATAAACAACTTTTCTATCCTCTGTGACATGTTCAGCCTTTTTCTTTTCTTAGATGGCTTCTCTGAATGAGTACAATGTTACTGGATATTACTGTATTACATCTTTATTTCTGGCAATGTGCATGTTTTCCTGGTAAGTATTAGGCTTTAAAATACCTTGCTTAAATGGCTCTCTTACCAGCTCCTAGCACTCAAGTATTTAATTGCTCAAATGATAAGATCTTTTTTGGTATTCTGGCTTAGTTGAGCAGATCTTGGGTTTTTACCTCAGCATGAAGTTCTCTTTGAAAACTTACTTTCCTCAATAACAATATTCAGAACAGAGTTTACTGTTACAATTGATTCTCTTGCTCCCTTTTGGTGTACTGCGTACTTAGAAAAGTTGGAGGAATCTGTAACGTCAGTCCACTTTGCTGCCTTGGACCCTTCTCAGACAGGTAATCTCAGCCAGCCTCAACAAAGGAACAGAGTTGCAGCGAAGCATCTCTTGGCAGTACAAAGAGGCAATGAAACCTTGTGGGTTTTTTCAGTAAGCATGATGACCTCTGACAACCTGCAGTTTAATTAGCATGCAGACATTACACTTTGTTCTGCCATCTTCCTAGCATAGTAGGACTGTGCTTGTTCACGTCTTTGAGCAAGTGTATGTAAAACCCACAAGCACATGAAAGTACTCTGTGTCACTTATCAAAACCAATACTTGCAGGATGAACTATCTTTAACAGAAATGCCTTCTTAAAATTGCAGGAGGGAGCTGGTAACACACCAGTATTTCTTATACTGGAGTGACAGTATAAGACAGCTGACAGTCTCAGCAGTAGAAATACCGTGGTGTACCACTGGAAATTGCAGATATCTGATGGTAATTAGCTTCCCTGTGCTCTGTTGTGCTGCGAGGCTTACAGATGACATTCAGATGATTCTTCAAGTGATATTAGTGGATAGGCAGTATGCAAGAGTCAGGTTTCCTATGACTGCTATCAGGTACTTAGGATTGGTGCTGCGCAGAACAGTTCTGATGGTGGTGGTGACTAGGATTAGAAGAAGATACAAAGGGAGTCCTTGCAGACTGTATTGTGGTGTTACTGTTAGTTTGCTGGCTAAAAAGCAATTGAAATTTGACGTTCTAAAATCATGTGACTGAAGAAAAGGGTTAATAGCATGTGTTTCTCTGGGTAGGAAAAGAAGTTTGTGCTGCTAATTTGGTATGTTTAACAGATACTTAATTGTTGCCATCTTTTCTGGTTCCCTGTGTCCTCTAGCTTCACCTTAGGAGGGGCTTCCTGAATCACAAATTCAGTTCTTTCCTGTCTTGACCAACCATATCTTAAATTCTATTTTAAATATACTTAAATATAACTCCTTTGTCCTTACTAAAGTTGTTCTTTCATGCTCTTCCTGGTATTTATACATAATCTTTCATAGGTAGCAATCATACTGTAGCCTTCATTTTACTAAACATCTCCTTTCTTCTGATGCACTGTCTATGCTTTGATCACTTAGCTGCCCATTTAACAACTTAATTTCAGTCCTTCTTGATTTTGAGTTTGTAAAGACCATACCCATATCAGCATATAAATCAATTAATATAAGAACACATTAATACTTCCCTGTTATAAATTCCTTGTTTGCCTCTTGATATCTGTCATGTAGTGTGACTGAGCACCCCAAACTCTTGCCCCTGCTGTCATTTGCAGCTGAACTCCAATTTGCCAAGAAAATTATTAATTTAAATGCATGACCTGGCATTATGACACTTTTTAATTAAAGAAAAAAAATTAGATTCACATATTCTCCTGGTTTGGATTATTCTTGATAATGGTGACGCCTCACAGTTTTGTCAGCAGGTATCATTAGCCGATTCCTAACTTTTGTGCCCTACTTAGTTAAGAAAAAACTTGGAATTGACCCCAGACCAATTTAACAGAATTCTACAAATTCCATTTTCAACACAGCCTTTGTTTTCTTACAAGTTCTTCATCCCTGCTCATGCTAATTCCTGTCTTCTGTAGTTTAACAAATTAAGGGTTCTTGTCAAGCATTCTGTGGATGTCCAAGTGGCTTTACTGAAATCCTCATTTAGAATGTACATTGTGTCAAACTGACTATGTCCACTGATTGATCAACCATGTGTTTGGTTGTAAGCCTTGGAAACTGGAGATAAGACTAATTATTCTATATTGTTGAGAATAGCAAACTTTTTATTTTGCTATCTGCAATTTGATACTTAAAAAAAAACCCTTGCTGCCAGAATTACAATTTCATTTGGTGGTTATTTCTGTATACTGGGATGAAGGTCACTAAGTTTGCCTTGTTACTTGAGTCATTTAGGTTACTTGGCAGAATACTTAAGTCTGCTGCAAAGAGGAAGTAGTGGTGTGGTGTGTGATTTTGTGAACCTGTGGACATATGCCATCTATATCTGAAATGCATGCTTTTAATCCTAAGGATTAAAAAAATCAATGGTGAAAAACATAGGACATGCTGCTCTTTTAAGCAGTCTAGCAGAACAACCTCCTGTTCCCCTTCTGTGCTTTGGGGAAGGGTGAAGCTTCCATTTTTAGTGTGGTTCCACACAACAGAACTAGAGACCCTGGTGGCAACTCATTTGTAATGTTTGTGTGAAATCTTGGTGTTTGGACTACAGTGGGTGGAGCCC